ATATATATTATATGGATATCATATCGATCTTTTCACAATTGTTATCATTGATCGTTCGTGTTTGCAGAATTATTATTATTAGAACGTGATTTGCAAGTGGAGCGAGAAAGCGTAGGTAAACTATTGCTAATCTGTTAATACAGATACGAGCGCGCGAATTTGATTTCAGATCTCATGGCAGTTCTAGCTTTAGATTAACAAGATAGCACGCAAATATTGATTCTACATACATATAAAGTGTAATTTTATATAAATGATATAGAGGATGTTTTGTGTGAATTATTGACTTTGATTATCTTAGATTTTGCTTAATAAAAGTCTGATTTTAGTTTACGCCTATCTCTGTTACGGTTAATCATTGCAAAAACGATTCAAGACGTGGCAAAAAAAAAAAAATAATATGGCGCGACGATATTTCTTCAAAAATCAGGTCCAGTCTTTTCGGATATTGATTGTACTATATCATATTCCGCGTTATTTCTCAATCTCACCTGACCACCAATAGTAGTACCGTGTAACATTAATAGAAACTCTGGTATTCAACCCTTTTACTGGTGCTATCCCCTTCCGTTGTACCCGCTGTTTCTCATTTCCCCACCTTTTCTTCTCTCCCTACCTCGTTTCTACCATAACTTCAACAATTCCAATAGTCGTTAATCTGTCGGAAACTTTCGGAAAACTTGCCGTTATTGCAGGTAGATGGGCGGGACCGCGTACGAATTGGATGAGAGAAGAAGAGAGAGTGGGAGATGAGAGAAAGGTAGAGGAGAGGAAGAGGCGCAGTGGGGAATTGGAGTCTGACTGTGTAAGGAAGAGGATGGTTCAGAAGGGTGGTTCCGGGTGCCACCCCCCTCCCCTCAGATGGGTGTTATAGGGGTGCAGGATGGTAAGTTAAATAAACTTGTTTAGTTTCGCGGAAAGTTCTGCGCGGCCATTGTATTCGACTGCCGTGCTACCGAGTTTGCTGCGAAAGTTTCGGATAGGAACGAACTCACTTCCCCATTATGCTTTATTTGCTTGTTTTGCTGGTCCGCTGCATCGCTCCATGCCGAGCCAAGCCGAGTCACGCCGCCGAGTTATCCTTATGACATTAGATATGTACGAATCAATCTTAATTGTATGAATCAAAAATATACGAATTCTTGAAAAATTTTTCAAGAATTTCCTTCATTCCCAAACAAAACCAAGTCATCTAAAAGATGATTCTAAGATGACATATTTTTTAGAAAGACGTCTGTCAATGAGAGCTTATAGTCGACGAAAACATAGCTAATAGATGTCATATGTCTAACTAAAAGTCATCCTATAGCCTTAAATCACATGATGATATCATGTTGTTGTTTATTATGTTTCAAAATTTAAATTATTTTATTAAATAAAATACAATATAATTATGTATTTTATTTAATATCAATAAATATGAGATGTACAATTAAAGTAATTAAAAATAATTAAATTTAATTATTTTTAATTACTTTAATTATAAGCAAGAAAACTTGGGGCTGCTATGTGGAATTATGTATTTTAATTTGTACTTTAATTTGCATTTTAATGTTGTTTTAATACAACACTTAAAAAAATATATATTAATGAAAGTAATTTAATTAAATCTGTTATTCAACATATCATTGATATTGTTAGAATACTAAAAATATATATTAGAAACCATTCAAGTGTTAAAAATCTCAAATTAAAACTCTCTAAAATAAGAATGAGTAGTATCAAAACTGGTTAATTAGCGGAAACCTAAGCAAAGATACAAAGAGAAAGTACGACACAGAAGAAAGAAGACGATGCAACGTGACTGTTCGTGCTGCAGGTGGTAGATGCTGCGATGGTAAAGTGACCTTGGCAGTCAGGAATCCGGTCTGACAACATGCATCGACACAAACCACTGGCGTAAGAATTCCCTCGTCCATCCGTCTATGCGTCTTCTATCCGTTTATTCGTCCGCGATGGCATTACCTCACGATTGATACATGTTGAATAAATATTCCGAACCTATATTATAACATATATTATAACTATAATATAATAAGCAAACAGAAAGAGAGAGCTTTACTTCCAATTTTTTTTTTTTTTTTTTTTTTTTTTTTTTTTTTTTTTTTTTTTTTTTTTTTAAAAAAAAAATTTTCTTTTTTTTTTTTTTTTTTTTTTTTTTTTTTTTTTTTTTTTTTTTTTTTTTTTTTTTTTTTTTTTTTTTTTTTTTTTTTTTTTTTTTTTTTTTTTTTTTTTTTTTTTTTTTTTTTTTTTTTTTTTTTTTTTTTTTTTTTTTTTTTTTTTTTTTTTTTTTTTTTTTTTTTTTTTTTTTTTTTTTTTTTTTTTTTTTTTTTTTTTTTTTTTTTTTTTTTTTTTTTTTTTTTTTTTTTTTTTTTTTTTTTTTTTTTTTTTTTTTTTTTTTTTTTTTTTTTTTTTTTTTTTTTTTTTTTTTTTTTTTTTTTTTTTTTTTTTTTTTTTTTTTTTTTTTTTTTTTTTTTTTTTTTTTTTTTTTTTTTTTTTTTTTTTTTTTTTTTTTTTTTTTTTTTTTTTTTTTTTTTTTTTTTTTTTTTTTTTTTTTTTTTTTTTTTTTTTTTTTTTTTTTTTTTTTTTTTTTTTTTTTTTTTTTTTTTTTTTTTTTTTTTTTTTTTTTTTTTTTTTACGTGAATAAAAAGACTACCTAGCTTTTGATACAATAGAATGTATTATAGATATATCAAATGATTCTGCAAATG